CTTTCTTTGCAAGGCACTTTTTCACAGTCTAATTTCTCCCAAATCGGTCCTCCTTCAAGACCTATGATTGACTAATTGACTATTAGGGTGAATCATACAAAACTGTCATTACTGCAGGTCAAAACTCATCAAAGAGCAGTAGTTTCACGTGGTTAATGCAACTAAAAACAATTTCAGTTACCAGACAAATGTCAGGTCCACTACCTCTTCTACTCCCCCCATTAAACTTGGAATCACTCCCATGCCCATTTTAAAGATGGGGAAATGTGAGGTTCAGGGTCATCGAGTCACTTAGCTCATCAATGGTGGCTATAGGTTTCTACTCAGCCTCCTGCTTATGGCCTTCTGCTACCCAACATTTTCTTCCCCACGCACTCTGCTGTTCTCCCAGTGTGTTGATGGGGGTTACCTGTGACAGGAGCTATTCCATCCCCATCACCTGAGGGTTTCATTCATCAGCTCACAGTTATCTCCATGAAGCTTTGCTAAGCATGCGGTGTGCATCATTCTTATTGTCCCCATTGGATAGATGAAGAAACTGAGACCTGGTACACTGTAGTGCTGACTGCACTGCACAAGAGTTATCTACATGACCAAAGCAAGTCGAGGCAGATCTAATGAGGCAAGTGGAGGAGACTGTGTTATGGACTTTGCTAGCACGATGGTTTGGCTTGCCTGTGGACTAAAGATCTAGCTTTCTACAGCAGTATGCAAATATACCCAGCACCCTAATCTAAAACGTGATGTTCAAGTTTCCCTCTCGCACTTCATAGAGCCAATTCTTCAGACCTATCACCTACCAGCACCACTGAGAAAACCATGCCCTGTGATCCAAGGTGCAAGTCCTTGCTTCAAGCCTTTCCCATATTTTAGCAAGCAGTGGTGAACATTCTCTGGAATATTTATCATGAAACTGGACTTGCTGGCCAAATATCACATCAGGTCAATGTTTCTGGGAGCCAATGGGCTGGCTTTTCAGTGAAGTAAGACTTAATAATTTACGACCACAAGAACAGCATCTGCCATACAAATGGATGGGTTTATGGCCAGAGGACATTCCAGAAAGCAATATTAGGTCTTTCCCATAATTAACACTTATTTATTGCCTACCTCCTTTGCCACCCACTCATCTTCAGAAGAATCTGTAGTGGTTCTAGATTTTATCATCCAGGTGGTGCTTACCAAGTCCAAGGACTGCCTAGCAATAGGACTTTGAGATCTACCTGTCCCAGATTTGCACTAGTCACGCATTAGTGTGTGCTTATATTGTTCTATAGAAATCTGTAGGAAGAGGGGAGTTTAATTAATTGAAGCTAAAGCTCTCTGAAGAACATGTTCCCAACCTCAGAAACAGAAATAAACTTACAATGTATCTTTTCTTCTCAGGAATGTTGAATTTGAAATAAAATGAATCTTAGGTCATTTTAAGAAATGGAAATGTATTCAAAGATTTAAGTAGATATTTGATTCAATATTATGGTATGTTGAGGGTGTCCTGAAGGAACATTGAAAATAGAAACAAATAAAACACTAAAAAAAGGAAATCCATATTTCATTGATTTAATATGTTTAAATTATAGGATAAAATCACCAACTCCTGATCCCCAGCCAAAAATATTAAGCAGATCCAGATGTCATATATAGGAATCCAAATGGTTACATCACATCTGAAAACCAATCATTATTTCATCTTTCAAAGGTACAGGGTAATGGATCAGATGCTCTAACCTCCAATGCATTGAGGAGAGAGAGAAAGATGTTAGATTTGTATAGAATGAAGGCAGTGAAATAAATGCCCACAAGTGATCTCCAATTTGTATTGACTCCCCAACAGCTTAATGTTGTCAGTTCCGTGAGTAGATCTCCCTGGTACAAACCCTTTTCCCCAACATAAAGGTTTCCAATGAGAGTCTACATCTATTAGGTAGCAAATAGTGATAAACATAATGAAAGGGATACAATACTGATCCTAAGTTTACGTTAATACAACACCTAACTTGACTATAAACTCATTTCCTAGCAAGACCATTTTAAACCATGTGGGTCTCCTCATGTTGGCCGTTTGGATTTTTCTCCAACATTGATGCCATCTGTCAGTAACATCTGTCAGCCTGTCGATTGCCAACATCAATCTGGATGATCTGGCTGATTTCATTCTCTCTTAGATATTTTTGACTACTCGCTTCTCTTCTCATCCAAGGAGGTAGAGCTCTACGCAGACAAAAGTTAGGGAAACCACATTTCTCAAGCCCAAAAGGGAATATTCATAGGCTGAGAAGTGTGGTGGTCCTTATGCTTTCAACGAAGCATAATCTTTCACTGAAGTAACCAGCATGGGTGGTTCTGGCCTGAGGAAGGCATCGCTTCTCAGCCCTTTGGGCAAGACCAAGTGTAGCCTGAAGAAAGCCAATGACAGACACTAACTGTCGGGTTTTTCTAGGACCTTCTGGTCCAGATCATTCTATCTGCAAGCAGCTGTGACATCCTAATAAGTGACTGAGAACTTAAAGGGCATTTACAAATGGTGAGACAGTTACAACTGTGTTTATTATTTACAATTCAAGTGGTTACTTGAATGCTCATACTTATAAAAGGCTGTGTCTATAAGCATGTAGGATTAATTTTCTCAATTGATATCACAACCTTAAGTCCCTGTGATGAACCCTGGATTGGAAACTGAGGGAGTTCTTGTCACGATGGAGAGTACTCAGGGAGACAACACTCGTCTTCTGGGTTGGGGCTGCTCATTGGTCCCCCATCTGCAGTGGAAACAAACATCCCTGCTGAGTGCCTGTTCAGTAAGAGCCTGCCTCATATCCCAGATTCCCTTTTTGGAAGTATTAGCCAGAGTGGTATTGACAGAGCCGTGGATTCTGAATCTTATGGGAAGCCTCAGGATGTAGGGGTGAGGTCCACATGCGCTCCCATAGCCCAGGTTCTCAGAGGCCACATGTCTAGGTGGGAAAAGGAAGATGGGGCATTACAATAGGTCAGCTCACCACTGAACAAGGACATACACAGTTAGCCAAGGTGGGCAAGTTGAGCTAAAGCTGGCTCCACAGAGAACAAGGACTGGGTAAGTTTTGCTTCTGAAATCAAGTTATTGGTATCCTATATAATACCCATCGACATGATAGCCAGGTAGCATTTTTGGAAGAAAGGTATTTCTAGGAAAGCAGGCTGTGAAAATGTTTTTAAAACAGTTTCCTTTACTATGCCCTTGTTTTTTCTTTCTGATTTTATTTTCGATAACTCTTGGTATCATTCAGTATAGAAACTTAGTCATACCTTAATTTTCATTGCATTAACTAGCACTACTGAGGCAGGAGTTGAGTTAAACAGAATCAGAATTGAGTGTCTGAAAAACAACCACACACAAGAGTTGTGTGATTACACATTTTTCCTTGAATGTTTGCAAGTGCAACCACTCCCGTCTATGCACCTGCAGGTACACACAGCATAGATGCATGGAGCAGGTAGTGCCTGAATCCGAGATGTGAGAAAAAGGAAAGTGGTTCTTCATTGTCCTCCCCAGAGCAGAGCAAGCGTGCTCCCCAGGGATGCCCACCTGCGTGCACCATTAGAACAACTTCCCACTCAGCCGGCTGGGGGAAAATGAAACAGCAGGAAGATGGAGGCTGTGGACTTGCTCCTTGGAGAAGGAAGCATGAGGCCCGTCTGGAGGCATCTACAGAGCTTAATTCCGACACCCAAGAAGATAACAGACCTCTGCACCTTCTGAGATGAAGTCTTCACTCCGTTGCACATCTTTCATCAGAACATCGGCATTTGAATCCATAGTACTGTGATGGGCAAATCTAACCCAGAATGGACATTGTCTCATCACACCTGGACTACCAAGGGAAGTTCAAAAAGTTCGTGGAAAAGTAGAGTTAAAAGATAAGTGTATTCTGGTGCCAAAAAAAAAATTGAAATTCATGCATTTTTTTTCACAATGCATTTTCCATTAACTTTGTGAAGGTCCCCCATGCAAATTATAACTATATTTAAGAATATCCTTTCCTTTTTTTTACTTGCCTGAAAGCAAAAGGGTTTTGTAAAAGGGTTCTGAAGTGGTTTTAGAAATGTACATATATATCTTAGTTTCCTAAATCATCAACCAAACAGAAAATGCATTTGTGACTTCAAGCAGATGGAGACACCCCCAACGCCACCCACCCACTGATGTTGCTTCATTGGGAACACAGGCGAGGTAGTGGGAGTTCCAAATTGCCACCATCATTTGAAAGGGTCCCAAAGCCAAGTGCACCAGTGTAAACGAAGCATCTCTGCTAGCTGTTGTCTATTCAGGGTGCCCAGTTAGGAGCAGCAGGAAATGAGTGTTCAGCCCCAATCCTGCTCCTCCTCTTCCTCCATCTGCCTGCCTTTTTCCCAGTTCATGGGACGCATCACCATGGCATCTAGGTTCTCTGCAGGACGGAGGAGGCGACCATGCACACAGAGACTAAGGCTTCCCGTCCTCAGCTTCCTTTCTGATCTGCAGAGGAAGAATGGCTCCGTTGTCTGTGACGCTGACAAACAGGAGAAACAATACCCAGCCAGACACGGGCTGAGCGGTCAGCCCTTCCTCCCAGGACAAACGCTGTAAGACAAAACACCAAACACACAGGGACCCCACACCATCCGTGCATCTTTCTGACATGGAGGTTCACATAGATGCATCTCTTTTTCTTAATATGTTTTGAGATTATTGTAGATTTGCATGCAGTTGTAGGAAATGATATGGAATGATGCCTACGGCACTTGCCTGGTTTTCCCCAATGGTACTACCTTGCAAGATGCTAGCACAATATCACAACCCCGATATTGACGTGGGTATGATCCACCAGCACGTGTTGTGCTTTGAAAATTGATGAATCCTTTTGAAAAAGCGCCACATGCCTGAGGCTGGACAAAGAGTCTTTAGATGACATCTTGGGTGTGTATGAAAAGGCTGCCTGGCTTGGCCGAGGGAGCCATGGCAGGCGCCGGTAACTCACGGGGTCACGGGTTCTCGGAACCGATCACAGGGCAAGAGGAGCCTCTTGGCATTTTGTTTCAGTTTTGAATTTCCTAAAATCAAGATGACAGAGTGCCCAGAGGGGTACGCTCCGGAAATCAAGAGGCACAACATGAACATGAGGCTTCCAGGCGGGAAAACTTGAGAAGAGAGCAGAAGAGCAACCACGAGGTGGGAGAAGTAGAGGAAGAGGAAGGAGAGGACTGACAGCAGTGCCCTGACGTGGGCACTCCTGCTGGGGAACCTGGCGCCCGCTGTGGGGCTTCTCAGCTGCCAGGTGTGTCTCCCCAGGGACAAAATCAAGAGCAGAGCAGCAACCAGGAAGACAAGGAACGGGAATGCGAAACAACCGAACACAAAGAAAGATGACAAAGCAGATGTTTCCTTGATTGGACTTGTTGCATTTCTGGAGAAAAAGGTCTGAAGTGCTTTTTGGAAGCTCATCCATGATTCTGTGCTGCAGGTCCCAGAAGAGATGGCTGCGCAGAGCAGGGATCCCAGGACCAGCCATGGCAGCAGCCGGGAAATCCTCATCTTTAGCCACAGGAAGAGCGGGTGATGGAAGGTGGCGATCTTGATGCAGTAGAAGACGCCAAGCCATGTGGCCAACCAGAGTCCCACCTCATTTGTAAACAGGACAATCACAAAACTCTCAAGAGACGTAGACACTTGTATCAAGGACAGAAAAAACAGGTTCATAAAGAAGAACAACAGCTGCAGGCAAATCCTAGAAACTGCCAGGCACGAGAGGAGGAGAGCCAATGGAGCCATTTTTCTCTCCTTGACCAAGTCAATGCCATTCCCCACCAAAATGATGCCATTGGCAAAAATCCCCAAGAGAAGTTGTAACACTGCAAAAAATAGAAAGAAAATGAACTGAGACTTGGGCATTGTCACAACAAAAAGCTCAGTTCCTCTCAAAAACGATGTAAAGATGTTTGGTGGTTTGGATCACAGGCATCCTGATTTCTTCAACTGGATCACTCCAACAGCGAAGGCAGGGGGCTAGGAGGTGGCATGCTTCTGCTGCTGTCACTGCTGTCTCAACTTAGTTCCGAGACAATCAAATAAGAAAGAGATACCCTAGCAGCAATTTGCCTCCATGTGATAGCTTTTGCATTTTTCCAGGTAAATGTGACTTCCAAAGGCATCATAAGCAAATAGTGGGACCTGACACCTTCAGATTGTGGGGAGAAAGGCTTGTTCACCAGACAATCAGCTGAGGCTATTAAATCTTTCCTTTCTCCTACAAATAACTAATCATATCTACAAATGTGATTCTACTTAGCATCATGGAGGTATTCTTTTCAAAAACATTTTTTTGAAATGATCTCTTCTACTATAAGATACAACCAGCAGTGTTGAACTGTTAAGTAATTGTTCTCCTATGTGCATTGGTTGAATACTTCAGAATCACCTAAAATGTAAAATAGTCATATAATAAAATATACCCGATAAAGCACAAAGTGTCACAAGACACAATGGGAAAGTAATGAGGCTCACAGGGATCTGTGTGCACTAACTCAAAAGCTCAGAGGAAGGTAATGTGTGACATAATGAAGAGTCAGTCGGCACCATTCTTCCCAGCGAGCTCCTGCAGGATAATTCTGTCATTGTGACGTTTTCCTGTCATTTTTCTAAAGTCATGAGAGTTTTATGCTATGAGCTGGCTGATTGGAAAGTAAAGAGAAATATGAATAGTACATGATTCACTTTGCTGCTATAACTGATTACAGAGAAATTAAATGAACACTTATTCACATGTATACTGTGCCATGTATTAGGCTATATCAGGTGATCTCAACCTTATTGATGTTTGGCTTGGACAATTTTTTGGTTTTTTTTTGGGGGGGTGGGGCAGGGTGGGTCATCCCCGGCCTTTACCAACCAGATACCCTTAACACACCCCGTCTCCCTAGGCTGTGATGACCAAAAGTGTACCCAGACAATGCCAGGTGTTCTGGTTGGCACAGTCACTCCCAGCCGAGAAGCACGTTTCTAAACTCTAGGGGCAAATGCGGATGGAATGTGCTCTCTGCTCTCAGATATTTGGAGAGTAAAGGCAGAGTGAGCCGTGTATGTCAGGGGAGATCACCCTAAGTTCTGCAGGCGGTTCACACGCAGAACACAAACGGGACAATTCACAGACTCTGAAGGAGCTGAAGCTCTTCCATCCCGCCACGTGATCAAAATGTGCTCAGCAGATCCCTGCCCTAATGGACAGGACACGTGGTCGAAAGCGTGGGATGAATCTTATGTGTGGAAAACCGGAGGGGAAACCATAGGAAAAAGCAGTTAGCATGGAGAGGAAATCTCTAGGCTCTTTCCCTGAAATCGTACCATCTGTGCCATGAAGGACTCTGCTTCCTCCCATCACAACTCCAGTGAGATAAAGGGAGGGGTTAGGGACAACTTCATGGCCGTGTCCAGGAAGGCAGGTCATGCGCAGCCCCCATCGAAACAGATGCCAATTCAAGCACAACAATGGACAGGCGTCAACCAATGAAATAATGAAACTCAGAGCTCTCCAAAGAGCAGTTATCACGTCTTCCTCGGTTTCTCAATCAGTGGTCTCTCACTGCACCTGTTCCTTCCATTGCAAATACTGCATACCCGCCTGTGCCCCGGGGGACTCCGTTCTGGGAGGGCAGATCTGGGCTTTCTCATCCTCAGATCCACCTATTCATCTGATGCGTGGCCGCTGGTGGGTTTGTTAAGGAGAATCCAAGTCAGTTATGCAAAGGCTTCATTACAGAGGAAAGCCAGACTACAAAGTCGCTTTGAAAGAGAGCCTTTGTTTTCTAAGCAACTCTGCTCCTAGGAGCCAGGTCATCCCAGCGGCATGCAGGTCACCACGTTTGCTCGATATTGCCACGGCTTTTACGTCCTGCGTCCTCAGTGTGCCAATACTGAGGGAGGAAGTGGAAAAAGAAAATGTTCGATATCCAGTCTAGAATAACAACACACGCTTTCAGCTCGGACAGAACACCAGAGCTGAAAGGCTGCGTTGTTATTCCAGCTGTGAACTGCAGAGATAACGAGATAACCCACAGGACACCAACAATTTAGAACAAATAACCATGTCCAGTCCTATTGATTCACCTGCTATTTGTCTTTTGAATTCCAGCTTCTTGAGAGGGAATTGGTTCTCAGATATTCTATTTCAATTTTTTAAAATATATTTGTTGTTTGAGAGACAGAGACAGACTAACATACAGAGAACTTCTCATTCCCCCAAATGCCCACAGTCACTGGGGCTGGACCAGCCCCAAACCAGATGTCAAGAACTCATTCCAGGAGTCCCACATGGGCGGCAGGAACCTGATTACTGGAGCCATCACTGCTGCTTCCTAACGTCTGCTTTAGCAGGAGGCTAGAGCCAGCAGCTGGGGCTAAGCATTGAACCCAGCTATTCCAGGATAGGATGGAGGCAGCCCCACTGCTGCTTGATCTGCTGGACTTTGTTAGAACTAGCTTGTGGAGGAGAGGCAATCCTACACAGGGAACACTGTTTGATGTGGACAGTCTTCTGCTGTGGAAACTCCATGAATAAAAATTCATGGAGCTTAAGCTGCATTTTTGTTTTGTTACAGAACGTTTGCCACCTGTCTCTTCGTGTGCACACACACACAGCCATGGGAAACATACCTTTCTGGGCCAAGTGCCACCTGCTAGCCCGACTCTTGCCATCTTGCACTGAAGGGTGGCGACTGTGCATTCCTTCAATTGCTGCACTAAGGCCCCATTCTGCCCCCGCCCCTCCCCACCCTGGCAGCTGCTCTGCAGGGCTCAGGTAAAGACCTCCCAGGACGCGGCCTCCTGGATGCTGCCATCTCGGCTAAGGCAGCCAGGGGCACTGGCTGTGTTCCTGGTGCTGAGCGACCCTGACACAAATATTTTAATGACCAACAAACTACATCAAATCAAGTAAAAGCATCCTTACGTATAGAGTCCTTCTGGGTCTTTCAGCCAATTTGCTTTGGTGAGAAGGAAACATCTGAGAATTTCTGGCTCTAAGATGAAAAACATGCACGTCTGGCCTCACCTGTCAGTCAGTGGCTCGGAACGGTGACAGCTTTCCATGGGCAAATGGCTCGGAACAGATGGAACAAGACCCGGAGTGGAGACATTCACATGATCATTACCCCGAATTACCCTGATTAAATCCCTTCCCTCACATTCATCTGTAACGAGCAATCAGGAGAGGAGACAACACCAAAGGTTCTTGAAGTAACTGACAGGCGGAGAGACTTGCTTATTTATATTCAAATCGTTCAGCTCCCCTAAAGAAAGTGCAACTTTTTCACACGCAATTAGATTGACGTGGGCAAGCTTTTCAGCAGGTAGCAGGCTGCCATGTTCCTCTGTCTGCTCTGTGGCACCACACAGAGGTTCACTTTGGGATCAGAGTTGCCATGAAAGTGACAGATGCTTCGAATGCATTTCCCAATGGATCTCCCCACGCGATTCCCCAGCAGACAACTCCTGCTTTAAAGATATGAGTGTGTACTCATATACATAGGCATTCAGTAAGATCCTTCAAACAGGGAAGAAATAGACTTTGGGCAAACCAACACAGGTGTCCTTTTTGAACCATCCCCGGAACAGAGCCCAATCCTTGCAAAATCTATGTGGAATTTATTCCATTGAAAATTTACAACATCTTGGTTAAAAAGCACCAGGCTCTTTCTGACTAATCGTTTGAATGCATTCATTTGCTTCTCTCCACTTGAATTTGCAGTTGGTATCTTGGACTACAATTTTTGTCTTTAATATTCAGGTCAGTTCCAGATACTTGTCCCTTTTCCTCCTCTGTTTATCCAAGTAATATATTTCTGTGCTTTTCCTTACCTCACTCAATATTCTGAAATTTATTTGCATTGCAGCAAATAGAATAATGGAGCAATGCCATACACTGAATTTACATCTTATACAGAAAGAATGAAGAGGGATTTGCAAATGAGACTCTCTTGTTAGCGACGAGGAGGAAACAGAAGTCAGTGACAGTGCACTTTCCTAACAGCTTCCAGTGCTCACAATTTCATCTTCAGCACTGAACTGAGCTCTCCCACAAAATTCCCAATCATTCCTTGCTTCTTTCTCCCTGAACCCTTCCCACTGCCTTCCTTCCTGTGTGCCTTCCTTTCCCTCTCTACCCTCTTTCTCTCTCAATTCCTCCTTCCCTCCCAACCTTCAACAGGGGCTTACGACATGCGTCGTAGACGAGCCATGCTCCTAAGCATGGGACATCCTGCACGAAGAAGAAAAAGGCTGACTCATTTTGGAAATGGCATTGTGTTGAACACATGAGACTTAGACAGGTGAAGACCTAGGTCATTGCAGGGAAGTAGCAAGAGGCAGTACTTCAGACTCCTCCAGAGGGGAGGTGCCGATGGACCTGCATCAGAGATCTGATAATCACTGTAGACAGATGGAGCGGAGGTAGAAATCTCCCCACCCCATAGAAAGAGGGCAGCCCATTCCAGAGAGAACAAAAGCCACAACGCTGTGATATCCGGTGCAGCATGAACAAGAAGATGTAAGGAGGTAAAGTCAGAGGGGCAGGAGCAGGTCATGGGGGCCTTTGGGCCCCCGGAAGCCAGGGGTCTCATCTTCCATGTGATCGGAGTCCATTGCAAAGTGTGGGTCAAGGGGAAGCGTGGGCGTGATCAGATCTGCACTCCTAAACACTTACTCTGGCTGCTGTTGTAAATGAAGGGCATTTATTCCGGGAAAATACTTTGGAGTCTTGGGAATCAGAAGAGGGCAAGAGTGGAAACAGAAGGACACGAGCTGAAGGCAGCTGTGGCAGCCTAGGCAAAGGATGCCATGGCTGAAATTGGGTTGATGGTAATGGGAAGAAGAGGATGGGCTTATTTTGAAGGTGGAACCAACAGGAATTTCAGATGGCATTGGTGGGGGAGTAAGGAAATGAGAAAAATCACAAACTTCTCTTGGGTTAGTGGCATGATCCCTGGTGAGTGACTGTCATTGTGCAGAGAGGAAGACTGGAGGAAGGTGATATGAAGACACCTGTGGTGGACGTGTTGTCTGAGACGC